AGTCTCATGCAGCACTCAAAAGTAGCACGAATACCATGATGCTAACTTCAGCCTTCCTGAGGGATTAATATGAATGCTTAATGACATTAATCCACATTTAGATTACTTATGTTTAACGACATGCTTTCCATGCATACATATATAAATATTGATTTTGGACTGAAAGATAATCGTTCAACACGATAACAATTAAACAGCTGTAACCTGTCTCATGTGTTAAGTAATGGAGCTGCAGGCAAGCTCCATAAACAGATGGTCTTACCCACCCATGCTTAATGTTAGAGACTTTTTAAAAAAGAGGTGTTGACAAATCTGAACAAGAAGGCATAGTTTTAATGCAAATTGGCCAATTTGCAATTTAGATTACTCTAAAACTAATTTGGTCTATAGAAAAAATTAAGCTGCATTGTAAAACTGAGATGTTACACAGCACATGGATATAGCAGATTCCCCACCAACATAATTATTTACTAATTTCATTCAGCTAACAGAGTTTAGTGGAAAAGCAGCTGGAAAACTATTCATATTTATGGGCTTCCTATGACAGTTACTTAATTTACTCATAGTACATGCCAGTTATATCACAAAAAATAATAGACTTTCTGAAATAATATCTGTTCCAATCTCACAAAACAACTACTCAGACAGGAGAGGGTCACTGAACTCATTGCAAGCCAGGACAGAAAGGAAACAAAAACATATTTTATCACAACTGTGTTATGAAAACTTAATTACAGAGTAAATTTTCATCCAGGCTATCACCTGGGCACCAGCTGTGCATGTGCAGTCTTGTATCACACTGAGATGCAGGTTGAGCTTCCCAAAGTAATATACGGATGTTCACCTCAGACCCACGAGTGTCACTGCCAGACCAAATAAACAATTGACAGGTGATTTTCTATGGCTTTGCAGTAAACTGTTGATTTAACCTGTTCTCTCATGGATACAAGAAATGGTAAAATATTTCAGTTCCAGGAGGGAAAAGGCAGTAAGCAATTTAGATGCCTTAAATTGCTTAGTATTTGGAACATATATTGCCAGAGTTTAGTTCAATCCTGTAAGATGTTAAACAATAGCAATAAATCTTGAATTTTGTTAATTGTCATTAGATTCATTTCACCACAACACTGAGCATGTAGTTATCTGCTGAACATCTTTGATATGAATCTTTGGAAGCATGTATTCAGGGCAAAGGCAATGACTCACAAAGGTGGCCCATATCACGTGTGGTATTGAAGTCAGAGCTACCCTTTGCCAGAGATGCACAATGAAACTGTGCATATCAGCACACACATCAGGTTTACTGCATTAGTCAAAACAATCTTGCCCACCTAACTACACACATTGCTTCAAAAAAGCAAAAAAGTTCTGCTTTATTTAGTCTATTCTATTGTCTCTCACAAGTCAAATGTATATAAAATATATATGTATATTATTTCCCAATTTGTCTCATGATCCGCAGCCTTAGGGCTTTGTTAAGCTGATGATTAACAAAGGTACGTTAAGAAGCAGATGTCTAAATTTTATCTGAACAAAAAAGCAAACATTTGCTATGATCTATGATCTGGCCTCCCAATGTCCTTAAGAATAAACAAATGGTCTCTGCAAGTTCAGAGCAATTAAAATTTCCTTTGGCCAAATTTCCATCTGAATATCTTAAAGCATACATAAAAATCAGCATAACTCAAGAAGTAATCTAGGGTTTAAAAGATATTAGAGAGGAATAAAACTAAGGACTACCTTGTTTTAATTAAGGAGATAGGTTTGGTTTTTCCTTTTTTCTACCCTTTAACACGTCAACTAACAACATGGGCTCACTGAAAATGAGACTGGACACATAGTCAGCATTTAGAAATACATAAAAATCATTAGTTGAGGTGCAAAACATTTTTACCATTTTAAACAGCATTCACGCTTCACAAAAAAACCATAATCTCTTTGATCAAATGAGTTACGGATTTAAATGATTCAGTACACATTCCAGTTAGTGCCTCTTAATTAATTAATGCAGTGATAAATGTACACATATCTACTCCATTTTGTGCATCTAGGTAGAGATAGTGGGCTATTCCTTTCCCAAAAAGCGATTAAATGCATTGCCCTTAAAATTTACAACTTCAAAATACTCCTTTCCCAAAGAAGTTGTAAATTTAGGCCATTGCACTTCATGTGACTTCCAGCTAATAGCTGCATCAAACAAATACATCTGCATTTCTACAGTGCTTCACACTACTGCATTTAAATGGTTAATGACTTTTAGAAATAAAACGATGCAATTGTTTATTTTTACACATATAGAGGGAGTGTGTGAGTCTTTCACACAAGTTACAAGTTACAAGTTGTGTGTGAGCACAACACAAGTTACGTCAATATTCTGCTACCAAGTTGAGAGTTGTAAGTAGCATAAAAATGCCTGGGTTACAAATAGAGGGTGACAATAAAATGGTTTTCATGGAGAAACATTCTGATGTCCCTTGTGTTTTGAAATGTATTGCTCAGAAAGACCTACTATCTACTGTGGGGCAGGTGAGAGAAAGGCAAATTGACTCTTCATTTACCAAGCTGAGGAAGCAGCAATTTTTACTTCACTAAGTGGAAATACTCTTGGAAATGAGCAATAAAATGACCTGGTTTCTCCATAACACTGGGCTCCTGAAGAAAACAGCTCTAAGAAAAATAAATATAACAGCCGGCTAGAGCCTGTACCGCATTACTTGTCTTGGAGGCTGTAAGGGCAATATAAACAAATCAAACTATCTTTACAGCAGCAGCCACAAAGTAAACACCCATTTAAAGAATAAACAGGTGGCAAGACAGACCTGCTCGCCCAGTGCTGAGGAAAAACTTGTTTGTGCTTAATATGTTGGAAAAATTGTTCAAGAGCAGTTCATCCGTGTGTAACTACAACCCTTGAAATGCTGCCAAGGTCAGTGAGACCAACAGCAGAGCAATCTGCTGAGTAATTGCTCGTTGGCAAGTTAAAGCGGTCAAGGGAAAGGTTTTATCCTACTTCCAAAGATTTACTTTATTTTATTGTTCAGAAAGCAGTTCTCTACCCACCTCTCCACTCTCTTTGTCAGCACGTTTTCTGGAAGCTCCTCAAAAATGTTAACCCTACCGATTCTCCCTGGGATTCTGCAGATGCACCTTGGTTCCCCCTCCCTCATATGTCTGAGCAATCTCATTAGTAAACAACAAAAAAATATCAATTGTGATTTCTGTAAAAAATAGTTCACAAATCAATCTTACTACTTCACACCTGACTCGCTTCTGCAAAATAAAACCTTGCCTCATCTTCCTGGTGCAATGGTGTGGGTATCAGTTAATACAGCTGTAACAGGCCCTCATTTTCCATGCCCTCAGAGCTCACGTCACTGTTTCCCTTGACCACCAAGTGCAGCACCACCACCCCACCTCTCAGTCAGGGCTGTCAGCTACGCGGGAACGCAGCTTGGGTTTTACGATTTTCTAGATACTCATGCCCCAGTGATGGCTTAGCTGTGCTAACACATTCGGAGTTACAGCCATTCCAAAACATCCACGTAAGTTAAAATTCTCCAGCCTCTTTTTAGCTTGTGGCAAAAGCAAATCATGCTGTATTCACATCCATCAGCTCTACCGCTGTTAGACTTACTGTCCTATCCTGTTGCTTTGGCTACATCACCGCTTTTAACTGACTCTCCTTCATCTCTCCAAACATAAAACTATGGCTTTTTTTACTTACTGGAATTTTTTTTGACTATTTGGATTATCCATGATCTCCCCATCACTCAGTGTTGCTCCCTCCTTTGTCTGACCTGTGGCTACCTCTTTTGTTGTCTGTTCAATCCACCTCTAAGTGCTTAGCCATGATGCTTCTCGCACTTGGGAGATGTGCCCCATAAATACCTGCAGAGCCATGTTGTTACTCCTGTCACAGCCTTTGCTGAGCTTTATGCAAAGCTCCCCACACATCTAAGTACAAGCTAGTCGTCTCTTACAGCTAGACCATTGCCAGTTCCTTTGTCTGTGCTTCCTACCTGTTGTCACGCCATAGTTTCTCTGTGTGGTTACGCTAAGACAAAAATTGTTTGGATAGGACCCTCCTCCTCTGCTACAGGACTGCAGTGTCTTGCATAAAGGGGGATTAGTGTGGAAGGGAATTTCTTAGCACTATGGCTATACAAAACCAATATAAAAATGATAAACCTTTTGGCAACTCCTCCTCCACTTTTTCTTAGTCCCCTTATTTACATGTGCAATTTCGCATGCTAGCTCACCATCAAGCGCTGTGCAGTGCAGAGGGATATCCCGCTGTATATGGGACGTACGGACTGTAAATAACTGAGTAAGAAAAGCTCCACTGATAAAGGCATAGTAATTTCCAAAGGTTTCCAGGTGCTAGAACTAATTTGATTACAGAAACATAGAAGCTGTAATAAGGATGGCTGCTTCTCAATCAACTGTATTAAACTTCTGTTACATTATTGACATGTAAGAAATGTGATATAATTCTAAAATAGAGCATTATGTTGACAAGAAGATAATTTTGGGCAGCTAGATCACATTTATTACAAGGTGGAAGTGACATTTTTGTGTAGGCAAGTCACTTTTTAGAGCTTCTTCTCCATAAAAGAAAAAAAAAGAAAAACAATAGGAAGCTTCATTTCCAAAAGACATAAAGCTATCACATAAAAATAGAAAAGCACAAATCAAATAATATATTTATAGTTTAAAATAAAAGTAACCTCCCCCTCAGCAAAAGGCAGTTAAAGGGAAAAGATTGAAAAGGAAATTCTTCCACCTCCTTTTCATGGCAAACTAGGTACGAAGAACTGATGAGCCATTATATAACCATTTCCTTTCTTAAAATATCAACTCCTTTACACCGACTGACTCGTGCAAATATTCTGTTTGAAGAAACAAGCTTCAAAGTAATAACACTTCTTATTCAGATGTGGCCAGCAGTGCCGGCTGTTTGAATTTTGCAGCGAAGACAGGATAAAGCATAGCCAGCCTACCAATGGTACAGTGCTCTCCGTTCCATCCCTGGCTACATTCACATTTCCCGTCTTTACAGGTGCCATGCTCCGCGCAGCGGGGATGGCAGGCTCTCTGGTTGCAGGCTGCGCCTGTCCAGCCTTCCTCGCAGCGACACGTGCCACCCATGCACACACCGTGTGTGCCGCAGTCCACCGAACAGACTTCTGGATTTGAGAGGAGAGAGGGGGAGAAAAGGAGGCAGAGAGTGCACATGGGAGAGAGAGGGTATGCATTAATTAGCAGCACTACATTTTAATTCAACATGTGAAGAATAAGAAAGGCAAAATCTTTGAAAATTAAATCAAAGGAATTTACTGTGAAAGGCATTTTCAGGTAGGACCCAACAGAATACGGAATACAGAGTTTTATCTCTATGCTAATGCTCACTTAGTTATCCAGCAGACTTAGCGGTGCTTAAGAGTCCACAGCTCTTCTGTTAGCTCTGAGTAATTTTCAGTCATATTTTTTGTGATCACATATGTCTTAAGCGTAACCTTTTGTAACTTAGATTATATGGCACTCAGACCTACTAGAACTTACACTGTACTCCTAGTGATTATATGTGCCACATACCTAGGTCACTGCGTGTTGTGAGTGAAAATCTAGTATTAATGAAAGTTCATTTTAACAAGGTTTCCCCTTCCTACCCTGCTCCCTGTTTTCTTTCAAAGTACAAATGTGCCATTTCTGACACATTTTTTCATTATAAAGAATCAGCCTTAGTGAGACAAATTAGTACTATGCTGACATACTGACACATCTGTTAAATATAAAAGATGATTCTCTCTTACTTTCAGTAAATTTGTATCAGTGACAGCTACGAACAGTCTGGTTTAAATAATAGATTGTTAAAAAAATAAATCAACATACAGCAATTTAACTTGTCATTTACATATAGTAACAGGATCTTGTAACTGATAGAATAATTGAAAAATATGTTAACAGCCAAAGGTAGTCAGAGGCCAAACAAGGCATGTTAAGTCTCAGCTAATACAAGATGATAACTTAGACTGCCAGATTTTGCATTTACAGTTTTGGTTCATTTAATCAGGCTCCAGCAAACTTTACTTCTGCTAAGCAGACAACAGAAAAACAAGAGGAGATACAATACAGCCTGAGGGACTTCTTTCATTCCTTGGCATACAGCTGGCTGTAACCATGTACTGGTTCATAGAAGTACTGTACTTAGTTTTTGTTTTCTTGTGAAAGACAACAAACAGTTTAGTCATAAAAGACTGAAATTATTTTCAACAGCAAAAGAAAGAAGCATTCAGCGCAAGAAGGGTTTCCAGTTTCCCACTCAACAGTGTGTTTCTTCCCCCATAGGGTATAACCCCCTATCTCAAAGTGCTGTGGAACATTAAACATGGTGTCAAGGAGCTGTGATATTTCCCAGAAGAAACAGCCCAAAACCTTTATGGAGGAAGACAGCTGTAATTTCCCCCTCCCTGTTTTTTCCCTATACAGCATTTTATATCTACTTTGAATTAAATTTTTGATTAAGAGATGCAAGATGGTTTGATTAACTTTAGAGTCACAAAACGTCAGCGCAGCTCCAAGAAAGAAAGGTTTATTTCTCTTCAATCTAATCAATTTTTCATTAGGGTGAAGGTGTTTATCAGCTTTTAGCACACTAGCTTTCAGCAAGGTGCGTCAATCTTTGTAATGAACTTATTAATTAGAGTTAATTTAATTGAAGTGGAATTGAAGGGCTAATTAACGGACAAACTACTGATGAAGATAGAGGAAAGCTCTGCTGATTTCAAACCTATAAACCCCTCTGATGGAAATAACTCATTCTTTTTTTCTTCTAGCAGCTTAACAAAATGTTTATGGGTAAGATTTACTTTTTTAGTATACCACTCTGAAGGTCATTTTGCATGACTTCAGCAAATAGTCCATGTGTATTTTCACAAAGCTCTTTTGTGAGTTTGATACTTTTGAAATATTTGAGAAGATCAGAAATATTCTATGTTATTTTAATGACCAATCATTCCTTGAAACATAAGTAAAAGATGGAGCATAACTGAATAATCAAAAATAGTGTAGAGGACACTGTGTCAAGATATAGAGGATCCATATTTTGCCAGAGAACTAGAAAGGGTCTCTCACAAATAGCCATTTTTAGTGCTAAAAGTGTTCAGAGAAGAATTTTTTTTCTAAACAAATTTAACAGAAGACAACATTTTCTTCTCTCTGTCAGTTTTTCTTGAATGTTTGGAACTCTGGCCTATCACTCTCGTATGCATAAACCATTATGGAGTATCACAGATCCTGGTCAGGAAGTACATTTGTTTTAAAAAGATGGTTCCTCATGAAAAAGTTATGTTTATTCATTAGCTGGCATAAACCCAGCTAGCCCATGTGTTCAGTTTTCATTAACAAAATCATCTGAGTTGTTAGATGAACTGTTTTAGACAAATATGTGTCTCACAGTTAGACATGATTTCTCTTTTGGTGTGTGGCTACCAAACAATATTCTAAAAACTTGCATTTGTCAAAAGGCTGCTGTCATACTTTATAAATATTTAGATTCTGCTCTCTGTGATAGTACCTCCATTCATTTTCTCCTTTTGTTTCTAAGCTGAGACCACGGTTTTAATAAGCTCAGTTTCAGACTTCAAGAAATCCCTCTGCTTCTTCACCCCTAGCAACTCCTTCTACCCTGGCAGCCTGTGCCCTTCCTCAAAAGCTGTTTAGGATTCATTCTTGCATTCCCTTTGCCTTCAAACTGTAACACTGTCTGCTTTTCAAGAAAAATACCTCCAATTAGCTGGAGAGATTTTTAAAATGTGACTGCTTCTAGTTTCAATAGTGTAGTTTTAAGTTTCTAAGTAGATGTATTGGGTAAGATGATACTTAGATCCATGTATCCTACAAAGAACATTCTGTACTTGCATGTGAAGTACCTGAAGTTACCAGGTGAAGGCAGCTAAAAGATACCAACAAATACATTGATTTTCAAATACTTCAAATTCATCAATTATTTTAATCTTTGAATCAATTCACAGTTCATGTTGAAGTCAACTCAAAGACTTCCATCAGCTCAGCAGGTCAGGTCCTAACACAATAATGTCATGAAAATGCTGCTTATTCAAGATGTCACCGTTTTACAAAATGCAAGTGCTTTTAACCCTTACCATTGGAGCAATCTGGACCTGTCCAGTTGGGGTCGCAGGTGCAGGTACCACTCTCTTGAAGATAGGTGCCATGGCCCGAGCACTGGTCAGGGCACATTGTCTTCAGGATTTCACAGTTGTTGCCGCCCCAGCCCGGGTTGCAGTGGCACTCGCCATGGATGCACACGCCGTGGCTGGAGCAGGCTGGGTCCAAGCAATCCGCTGCGGGGAGATGAGAAAGATCAGCTTAAACTTGTCATTCCTAACAACAGTAATCAACCCTAGATGCTTATGGCACTTTGGGGCTTAATCCACACTTTAAGACCTTGTGAAATAGGCAGCGTTGCACTTATCTTAAAAGTAAACATTAGTAGGTTGCAGCTGAGAAGTTCACCTTTGTTTCATTGCAATGAGTGAGGAAAAGACAAAGTGGACCAAGGTATCTTGATGCCAGCCTCCCTTCTCTGGCTACAACGCAAATCACTCTTTATCGTCACTAATTGCACAGCGGCAATTTTCTTTGTAAAACCACCTTGCTCCCACATCACTTTCTGGTATTGTGAAATTTGTGTGTGCACATAACTGACATCAAGACATTTACAGGCTACCACTGAGTTAATGGAGAACCTTTCAAGGTTTGCTAATTTTTCTGAATTACAACAAGATTGGTGTTGAATCTGGGGCAACTGATCTCTGTTCTGCCTAATCAAGGTGTAACAAGTGTTGGATTCCCTGCAGCACTCGGTATCAACTGACCCCATCCACCGCTACAGAATTTTGACAGCTGTACAGGACCCTCAACTTGTTTCAGAAATAAATGAGTTGCATACTTTCTATCTGTCTTAATTCACTTTAATGTGCTTTAGATGACGAGATTTAATTTAGCAATTTGACTCAATAAAATGTTACACTTGTAGGGTCAATGGTCTGAAAATTTAATTCCAGAGACTTAATTGCATTACTTTGTATGTGGAGATCAATAAAATCAATTTGATTGAGGAAGAAAATGGCGCGTTTTACTCTCTAAAAAAATAGAATGGAAAATGAACTGCATTTTGCAGCACACCAGAACGAATATTATTATGCACATCTCTGGAATACAAAAACGACGCATCATTTTTCACTCCGATGCATTTGAATCAGCACTTTCCACAATGTGGTTGGTGGAAAAGATCACTAACAAATGCAATACATTAATGATTTATTCTATACTGTGAAAATTCACTAAGTCTTCCTGTATTCCAACATGTATTTTTTGTGTGCTTTCTTCTTAGCTGACCTCAGCCAGAAAAAATAAGTAAAAATATACTGGCAAGCAAAAAGATATCACACATTACTAAGAATTTTCCCACCGATTACTTGAGAATAAAGAAAGTATAATAATTCTGTAGAATTCAGTGATATAGTGATTCCCAAACTTGATTTTTGGTATTCTGAAATGGTTTTTGAAGAAACACCATTAGTGTGTATGATCCAGATCTAGCAAAATCAATAGAGCTGGATGTGCCAGCTGGAAACCTGACCAACAACAGCAGTTGGGGTAAATATTGTTGCTGGGGTAAATATTTACTCATTTACCTTCTTCACAGTTTTCTCCTTTGTATCCAGAGTTGCAGGCACAAGAGCCCATGATGCAAATGCCCCGGCCCCCACACTGGGGATCGATGCACTGAGTTGTAGGCACGTCACACTCGGTGCCCTTCCAGCCGCTGTAACACAGGCAGCGCCCTTTGGAGTACTGCCCATTGCCACTACACAGCACTGGGCAGGCTGCTGTGAAATGAAACACGGCAGAAAAATTAAAACCAAGTTCTTCACCAAAGCTTTATAAAGAAGCAAGTCACATGCCAGTTGCTTTCCCAATGTATTTGTCTTCGTGCTCACTTAAACTGACTTGAGAAAAGGATTGGGTTGATTTACCTCTCGAACAATCGGGGCCCAGAAACCCTGGAAAACAATGGCAGGATCCAGAAACACATTCGCCGTTACCATGGCAATTTCGGGGGCATTCCACCACAGACTCTAAAGGGAAAAAAAGGAAGACAATTCACAGATGCCCACCGCATGAAGTACCTATCATTTGAACCACTACTAACCGACAGCCCGCTCTCCCTCCGAAAGAAGTGTTTACATTTTGTTTGTTTGAAGAGCACAAATAGCTGTGATTTTCTATTGCTGATGCCTCTAGTATCTTAGGACATTATATTCCAACAAAAAGGCTCAAATTATAATGGTAAAACCATATGAGCTCCATACTTAAAATCCAGCCCTGTGCCATTTAACGAATACTTCAAAACAGTGTCCTCCTTTCAAGCACTGTTTTACGAGAAGGTACACTCCTTATGCCTTATGCCAAGTAATTAAAATATATATTCTGCATTTTATTCTGAGCAGCAAAAGAAACACTATGAATGGAAAACCTGTGAAAAAAAGTCAGACCATTTAACTACAAAAATGTGTATTCCTAAAAAACCTGACCAGAGCCTAGCATTTGGTAAAAGTTTTGAAGATTACGCTTACCTATAATTATGGTATTAAAAGACACCTGCTCTGTATTTTTCCCATCGTTATAAAAGGCCAGGTGCCAGATGCCAGAATCCAAATACTGGATAAAACCTGCCTCGTGGAGACTGATAGACCTCGCCTGCCGCCCTGCTCTCTCTGACTCCAGCAGGTTGCGTTGCTCCCTCGCAATCAGCCGGCTGCCATCCAGGAGCTCCACAAAGTCGTACTGCGGGGAGGAACAGACAGGAGCTTGACAAGTCACGGGATGACCCACGGCACCGCCAGCTCCCCCATAACATCCTGACAATCTGCTTGTATTTTGACCAAGAGTTTCCTCTTCGGAGCGGGGAAGTAGGAGCTGAAACCAACCCTTGCTTATTTCTTTGCCCCTTGCTAAGACTTCGAACAAAAATACCAACTAGTCCTCATGCTTATTAGAGTGGCTTTTTCTGTCTGCAGTCTGAATTGCAGGTGAGAGCTAACTTTCAAAGTGTGTTATATGCATATGGGTTAATAATAATACCCAACACCAATAATCTACTTTGCTTTTCATTTAGTTTCAGATGAAGGATTAAATTGCTCGATCCCCCTTTCGGACAGTCTGGAGTTCTGGAGGAAGGAGAGCAAGAGCTCAGCATATAAAGCTGGGGGAAGAAGAAGGAAGCGGGGGACGTTTGGAGTGATGGCATTTGTCTTCCCAAGTAACCGTTTCGTGTGATGGAGCCCTGCTTTCCTGGAGATGGCTGAACACCTGCCTGCCCATGGGAACTAGTGAATGAATTCCTTCTTTTGTTTGCTTGCGCATGCAGCTTTTGCTTTCCCTATTAAACTGTCTTTATCTCAACCCACAAGTTTTCTCACTTTTACCCTTCCAATTCTCTCTCCCATCCCACTGGGCGGGAGTGAGCGAGCAGCTGTGTGGTGCTTAGATGCTGGCTGGGGTTAAACCACAACAGCTTCCTATCACAGAAGCCCAAAAGAGGAAGTGGAAAGCATAAAACATTGCAACTGTTGAAAATGACAAACTGACAAAAAATATGGTACCTCAGGTCAATGGACAGCACATATTGTTTTGTTAACAACCACCAGTGGGGCTTGGAAAAATGTAGCAGCATCTCAGCTGATACAACAAGCAAACTCACAACCCGAGATGTTATGCATGTTAATCTTAACTAGTGCTAATAGCACCTGGAGGGCTAAATCTGCTCTGGGCCCTGCACTGATTTACGCTGTCTGGAAGTCTGCTCTCATGGCTTGAAAGATGTCTTCTGCACATTTATCCTGTAAAGATCAATGTGTATATAGCAAAATTAAACAGGTAGGAAATTAAAGAGTATTCTTGCTTGTGGTAGAGAGTCTCTGCTTTTCCTAAAAACAGTTTCACTTTTACTCTGACACGTTTATTGTATGAAGTGAACTGTAACACGTAAACCTTCAATCTTCCCACAGGTTTGAGATCTCTCTCAAATGAATTTACGTCCAGGGCCTATTAAAGTAAAGGCCAGTATACGATTCACGGATTCACCTGAGCTAGGATAACATCAGTTACCGGGACCAGAGAATCAGTGGTTTTACACCCTGACTTGTGACCTTCAGAAACTGCTCCTGCGACAAAAGAAAACATGATAGCCTTCGCTCTGGAACAAGGGCTTAAGTACTTATGTTCTCTTCTTGAAATTGCAGGCCAAAATTCACTGCTATTGTAAGAATGTTCCTCTCCAGTAATCAGAATTATCTTCCTACCATTCAGGATGTGAAGGAAATGCATAGTTAATATGCCTCTATCAACACCTGAGACACTTTTCCAGCTATGTCTAAACCAGCAGAATAGAACATAATGTGATTAGGATGTACAGAAGCTGGTACCTCGGTATGCTGCCACTTTGAATGTACATGCTGCACCACATGAAAACAAATGCAACCATTTTGGGAGAGCACCAATTATTCAAAACCATTCAACATTCTCATTTGTCAGAGAATTAAAAATTTATCTTATTTTGTGAGAGAGAGAAAAACAATTTTAGTTGTGTTTTTTGTTTTCCCCCCTCCCACCTGACTCAAGAATGCTTCTTTCTGGTCATGTTTTTCACTAATATTTTAAAAAAGAGAAAGCTCAGGGAGTTTTGAGTTTTAACAAGTCATTTATGGACATTAGGAGCGACCTTGTAATTTGTGTAGTGCAGAGGATCATCTTTTGTAGGAGGACAATTTCAGATTAAAACCATATTTTTGACACAGAAAAAAGTGATTACACTACTTGATTGACCACAAAGAGTATACTAATGGCTGACAAGCATGGTATAATTAATGATTCTGTATTTGTAATGTAATAAGGGCATATGCTGTTATCAGAACACCATTTTAGACTACATTTAAAAAGCCACACAGAGGGGAATTTACTGTTCGTTCTGTCCCCCAGCAAAAACCAATAATTGATCTTAACCCTTTTAAAGGCTATTTTTTATATTTAGGACATGATAACAGAAAGAGACTGGAAAAACAATTACCTTCATAAGCAAAAACATACCAATTTTATTTTCTTCCTATGAGGATAAATTAATTGCCTTTATATTGAGACTAAATGCGTTGATTTGCCCTACCATTCCATTCAGCTTTGCTTTAAACCAAAGTCCTTTTTTTATTCTTAAAGTCTCTTTAAATAAACATATTGATTCTCTGGTTGCAATGGAACTGACATTTTTAGAAAGTGTCACAAAGACTTTCAGGCTCGCATTGATTGGGTTTTGAATGGACAGCCTCCGTCAATTATTTCTGGTTGATTTATTTATGATTCCCCAGAAAGAAAGAACTATGCATCTCAGATCAGTCTGTGACACACACATAGTGGCTGTGCTTGAGACTGATTTTAGTACCTAAAGAGAATACAGAAACACAACCAAAACTTCTGTCCCCATTACACTATATTAAACCATTTCCTACATGCTATATCCCTGTTATTTTGGATTATGGGACAGAAGGAGAGTTAAATTTGCTGCATTCTGTTATTATTTTATGATGAAATGCTAAGCAACTGATAGGAATGGTTTAGATACAGTCGATCCTGTTCCAAGACTTCTTGAGATCTCTCCCAAGCTCAATTCTACCATGCTTTCATTATGTCCCTCACAGTGGTAGGATAATCGGCATCAGAGGTTGTACAGCTATGGAAAGATAGACTCCAGTTTCCTCTTACTCACTGCCTGGTTTTAACTGGATACAAAAAAGAGGTGGATGAACAGGCAAAGGGTCCGGGAGAGAAGTGGAGAACAAGGTGGCAAATGTAATACGCAAGTTTTGCATTATAGCCAAAGGTGACATGGAGAGAAGGCAGACATTCATAGAAACACTGAAGCTGTAAGGAGGGAGCTAAAGGAGATGGTGGCTTGTGGTGACACATGTAGGGTGTCATAGCCATATGAGCAAAGATATTGGTGGGGGACAGCTAGTAAGGAAACTTTACAAATGCTGGCAGAGTGCAGGTAGTAATCAGTTCTCTATTATTTGACATAAGATCTGAAAATTCAAATACTGACGTTTGAGAAACAGGCAGCAGTTGCTCATTTGCATAAATTTTGTTATTAGCACTTGTCACTCTGTGACTAGGAGATAAGGGCAGATAGCATTCAAGAGATGCAGACATGAAGTGATATATATGGGTGAGATCCTGCTTTTCAAAGTCCTCATGAAACAACCCTAGCTTTACACATCCAGAGATGGGCTCTGAGCCAACTTTTATCATTCTGGGATGAGATCTTGGAGCTATGGTAGACAGATCTACGGAAATATCAGTTCTACGATCAAAAAAAAAAAAGCAGACATCATTAAGGCATTGTATGAAACTATCGTAATTAAACATCTGCTACGTTCTGTGCTGTTCTGGTCTCCCCATCTTGAAAAGGCTTCAGTAAAACTAGAGAACATTCAGAAAAGGACAAGGATGATCAAAGGATTGAAGCAGCTTTCATACAAAGAATGACGAAACAGACTGGAAAAAACAGAACTCATTGAGGACACTAGAGATCTATAAATCAAGGGTGGCATGCAGAAGAAATCGGTGAGAAACTCTCCACTGCCTCTTCCAAAACACTACCAACAGGGCGTCAAACTAAAACTACCAGGAGGCTGCCTCAAAACACACTGAGCAGTGAGATGTGTGAAATGTGTAGTTAAGCCCTGAAACTCCTTGCTGCAAATGTCACGGATGCTAAAAGCTTCCATAGGTTCAAACGTGACTACACAAATTCACAGGAAAAAAGAATCTATCAAAGGTTGTAAAATACAAAGACAGCACCTTTGACTCTTGAAGTCCTTCAGCCTTAGAACGCTGGAAGCCAAGAGTGTATTCTAGGAAGAATCGCTACAAATCTGTCATGATGCTATATTAATCTCTACGTATCTACTAATGGCCACCATCACAGACAGAATGCTGGGCTAGATGGGCCTTTGATGAGACCCAGTGTGGACTTCATGTGTTTTTCTAATATGTTCCTGTGATACTTGGAGCTATACGAGTAAGCTGCCTCATCTGATGGAAGGATATGCAGTGAAGCCCAGAATTAGTTAGTCTGCTCCTGCCTGGCTTGCAGTTAACTTTTGTGAGTACAAGCCATAAGGGTTAGGGGAAATAAGAAAACAATAAATAGATTTATGCTTGCAAACCCCGCAATGTTCTATGTCGTTAGACATCCTTTTGCCTAAATACCTTATTTTGTTTATATAAGCTACTTTGGTAAAATACATATGCGATTAGGACTTTGTGGCAGAAAGGCCTAAATTGTTGAGAAATATTTTACTCCATTTTTTTCCCCCATGTGCAGGAGCACAGTCACAAAAAAAACCCCAACCGCTCACTGGAACTGCATCTTTTGGAGATTACATACGTGCTTTATCTCAGGCACCTAAACCAGACATCACTGGGTTCAAGGCCATATAAACATTCTGATAACCCCGCACCCTTGGGAATCTTCAGCAGCCCTAGAAGTTCACCAGGGCATTGATAAGTAAGCATGCCTAATTTTTCAAGGTATTAAGTGTCAGTCAAATGGTTTGTAAAAAATACTCTAATGATATACCAGGCAAATATGGGACAAGAGAGCTTGGCCTATATCCTGGGAACAATATATCCAAAATGTCACAGAAACTACAGAAGACGTAGTAGCAGGATTTGCATATGATTCTTTCTGTTGTTTCATACTTTAACATGAATAAGCACTTTGTTAGTAGGAATCCAAAGGGAAAGGAGTCTGTGGAACACAGATGATGGGAAACAGATTTAGTTATCTTCTTTTCCCGAGTTTTTGGATAAACGGCACCCCTATTTCAATCTTTTGCCAGGATAAGGAATCAAGGAAGGATCATTTTTCATAGACATATCTACTTGCATAACTTCTCATATAAATGCACAGTTTTATTCATTCTTGCCACACATGTATTCCCCTAGCTCCTGTTATTATTGTTATCCTTGAGATGGCATTTGTATTCCAAACCCCTATTTCCAATGGCTGATAGCTTTCTGAATCGATTTTCTTTGAGCTAGAATTTCTCATGCTTGTTGTGACCCTGAGGGTGGGTGTTCATATGTGAAGGTCTGAAGAAAATCCATTTAATCATTTTTATGAGGATCAAATTTTTAAATAAACATAAGTGCATTTTCTGCATTCAATAAATTGTTTGTAGTTTAATGGAAACTAAACTAAAAAATAAAGCTAATGTAACATTCTGTGATTTTAGCAGCATGAAACTCCTTTGCTGACCCTAATTCTTCCTCTGTGGTTTGCAACTGCTAAATAGGTGATATAATTAGCAATATTTCTATGTTCTAGGTCTTATAAAAGTTATGCCTGAAGAAAAAACGAAGTAAATTTAAATAGTGCAGTAGCATGCAAATCAAAATAAAAAAAAAATAGGATTAAAAAAAAGAAATTTGAATTTTGCAGTTACGGATTTGCTGTTGCAACTGCGTATCAGGCATAATCAGTCAAGCTTCATTCCAATTATACCACTAGGCTGACATACTTAGAGTTGTGTCCAGGGCAAATCCATACACTTGAAAAAAAGATAAGTCAGTAAAATGTTGCATTAATTCTCTAAATGAGGTCGAAGAGCATGAGCTCAACTGCCTTTTCAGGTGGAACAGTGGTTCAGAGCCAGCACTTGGACAAATATTGAGCTGCAAGAAATCTAGAATAGGAGGGTCTTAAATCTTAAAAATACAATCTGAATACAATTGATTCTAAAATACCATCTCAGACAATGATTCTCCCTTTCTCCTGCCAATCCAGAAGACTATTCAATCTTTTATACTTTAACTTTTCTATAACTATGGATAAAAAGTGTTTCTTTGTTACTAGGCAAATGCATGACCATAGGCAATAAAAAGTCTTGTTAGAAACCTTCTGAGAGGTGGAGCAGAATAAATCCTCTGGGACAATTAAGAACAAATTCTCAAGACACTAAATGACTAGTGAAGACTGACACTTTTACAGCCCCAGTTCATTTTATCTTCGTAGACACATATTTCAGTATTTTTTCTTTTATGTATTTCTTTAGTGAGATACCAAGCTGTAAATACTGTAGCATTTGCTTGTAGAACAAACTGAAACTTCCTTAAAAAACTGTTGTCTTCTTGCTTGGAAATTTGGCAAATGCAGACTTTGCCAGCCACTCTTAACCGTATGTGCGGTCATAAGATGCTGTATTAGTTTGCTTAGGTTTTTAAAGATACGTCTATATACCACAGAAGAAAAAAAGTACCTATAAATTCTGCATGAAACAACTCGGTATCTAAAGCATCATCATCGCTCACGGCATTCAGAACAGCTCATAAATAAGACACCCCCCACCCCTACCCCCCTCTTAGATTTTTAGATCCCATCACTTACAGTATTATAAATGTTTTGGACATCACATGAGATCAATAAAGTATAAAAAGTAAAAACAAAAATCAGCAAAATGGAAAAGGATGTAATCCTGAGAAAGGAAAAAGATACAAAAGAGACAAGCTCACAGTTTTCAATAACATGTCCTACTTTTAATGCAAGCAGCTCTCACCTGAGTGTGTGAAGGTGGTAAGCCTTTTCGGCCATATACTCCAATCAATGCATCTTTCTGAAGGGATATATTGAATTTTAGGAATTGTGGCTGATCAATGAAGAGTTGTGATCTCCAAAAAATCCCAGGGGGAACTTCTTGTATCGCTCTTCGGCCTATATCAAGTTCTCCAGAATCTATAGTGTTGTTTTCTTGTGCAAATCCCCCTAATTTTCCTGACAGGTTAGAATAGTAAGAGATCAAAAATTAGTATTCCCTTCTTGCTTTCACTCATCCTTCATATGAACCGTCAAATATTTAGAATCACCTCAGATAAAATGTTACCTGACAATCTTTCTGAATATAAGATCCCAGGGAATTCACTGATTTGGAAATAAAAAGGCAAAGATACCACAAATACCTATGAAGTAAAAATACTGTAACTTCTCTAAGCACTAGCAATACGGAAACTGTTTTAGCATCTACATTAAACTATTCATTTTTTTCCCCAAGTATTTTAACAGGGTTTTCAAGCATAAAGTCTCACACTAAAAAAATTTAAGGTAAAGGGAAATGCAGCATACAGATTTTAAGAATAATAGATACATAAACATAAGCAGTCAAGAGAACTAATATACAGCCTTTTCTACATTAAATATCAGAGCATTTATATAATACTAACAATGCCTACAGTTCTGGTTTCCTATTTTTTGTTTTTGCATTCCCCAAAAAGAAAGGCAATGTTTCTTGCTCCATTGTGCCTATGTCCTTATACCTTTGCTCCCCATAATGCCTACATCCTCTGCATTCCCTAGCCTCAGCCCCAAGCTTGTTATCACCTCCTTGTCCACACTCCTGAATAAAATGTACAATAGCATGTCGAAGTCCGGTACTTTCACTATTTTCTATATCACGAATATTTATTTATCCTGCAGGCCAATTACTAGGAATAAGAACATAGCATTGAAGAGCATTAATGATTTTTCTCTATAAAGCATTTGTGCAACTATCAGTTAGCCTTAGGAGGCCAGTGCCTTCTACCTGCCAGATTAATAGGAAACAGAACTACTAAGACTGATGCACTAAAGAAGTGGTTTGCACAAACCATCACCACACAGCTTTAAAATCTGGGATGGTTTAGATGGGTTTGCATCAAGTCTGTTTGAGGCCAAAGACTCAGATCTGATGTTCAGGCACTAACCCCATGCTGTGTGGCTGGACAGAGGCAGTCTTGGAAGCTGGTGCCAGAGACAAAGCCTACTTCGATCCAATGGAATCAGCGCTGTCAAATCTAGACTAAGATGCAAAGACGTGTGTAAGAACTTGCTTACCAACACATCTCTACTCTGGAGTAAGCAAGTAATGCTGCATTTAAGCCGCTGGCACCTCAAGGTGAGCCTTGAGTGAAGCAATATAAAGAAAAATGGAACTTTAGTTACAATCTTACAGTCTGCTGTTTTTACCAATTTACATTGTTTTTTTCAGCAGCTACTCTATTGTAAAGATTGAACTAAACTCATCTGAATGTGATAAGCATGTTCAAGTGATACTGACTTGTTTGCGTACAAGTGTTCTGAAGAACCAACAACACTCCGTTACTGCCCTGTCTTTTATGTTCAAATCCTACATTATTCATCATTTGATGGAACAAACTGACACAACCTTTTTGCAAACATTTAGACTTTAAAAAACTAGATTAAAATCTGAAATGCCAGGTGAGGTCACAGATTGATCCTCGCCACTTTTTGTGCATCCAAGATGAACAGAGACTGCTGCTGAATTAAACAGGTACAGAAGCACTACTGAGAGGCCTTGAGTGGGGGCTTGTATCATCATCAGAGCTGTACCACAATGGTGTCGCAGTCACTGAAAATGTCTCTTTTACAGGATCACCATATTGATCAGTGTTCTGCTGAGATGAGACAGTGAAGTATCTGATCTTGGAGAAACCATGTTTTTACACTTTTCAGGATGAGTCTGATGCTTTTCTGACTTTGGACTTAATCTTTAACAATATTCATATGTTATTCTAGAAGATGGATCTGTATTCACTATTTCGGTTCATTTAAACATTTGTTTCTTACCACTTCTTTCAAATTTAAGCATGTTGTGTCATATAAATTCACACACTGATGACTGGTAATCACTAAACAATAAACACTTGTTTGCAGTATTGATCTGCAGCTTCCCTTATTTCTACATTTGAAATGAAAAACTACCTCTTACTACTGAAAAGATGAACTAGACAGCTTGAGCAGGTGCACTTTATCAAACATTTTGACCAACTTGCCAGGAATGATCAACACTTATCCTTAGCAGATAATGATCCTACGGACTCCCATTTTCTTCACCAAAAAAGAGGTAATTTTACCCCATAGCCACATGTCCCTTTAACGTCACACCACCTCTCTCAAAATCGTCAAATCATTGTTTGCCCTCCTAAGAATAGGGCGTTAATTATTCTTTGTTCCCTGTTGTATCTCTGGGCATAAGAAAAATCTTAGTCGTGTCATCATTTCCTTTTCACTTTCTAAACACTAACAGTTCTTATACACAGCTTTAAATCAAAATACAAAATGTCACGTTCATTCACACGAGTCCATAATGATGTAACAGTCCAAGTAAGAAACCACATTTTAAAATACCTAGCCTCCTGAATATATTCTCTTTCACTATACTTCTTCTCTACCCCCAAAATTCTTTCACAGACCCTCCCCAAAAGACAATAATACAAATACACATAAATATTTATAGGTGAATAATATTTATATCATGATTTGTACTTATATTGCTAGATATACTATTATTTAAATTACAAAATACATTAATTTGCTGTATCACATACTATCTAATATATACAATCATTATATGACGCATTTATGATACTGATAATCCAATGCATTATGGCTAATTAAGAGGTAAGATATTTGTTATATGTAGTATTTGTAAATTGTATTTCAACTGTCTGAGATTAGGGTGGGCAAAATCCTGAGCTAAACAAATATTTCAAGCAATAAACAATATTTAATTATTATACAAGAAAAATAATTCACAAATATCACTAAAATGACACGAAGCCAAACTCCCTCTCCTTATTTGCAAACATTCTATAGATTAAAACACAAGATACACTGCGAATAATTGAGTATCTATAACATAGAATAAAAACGAATGAACAACCAAAACACAAAAATGCTCAACAATAATTGCTGTATAGTGTCACACATAATATCATTTTCCATCCTTCAAAGGCAGTACTAATTAGAATATTAGGTTGCAAGGCTGGATTTACAGACAGTCAATAGCATGTTCTCCCATTCCATTGAATAACTTTATATTCGGATCTTTTTCCGTGAGACATCTGCTATATATCCTTCTGCAACAACCATTTCAAGAAATGAAATCAAAATCCTCCTTAAAAACATACCTTTTTAGAATAAAAAAAACAACATAACATCTAATTAAGAAGTTACTATACCTTTAATTAACATGAAATATTGTAAAAAACCAAAAAAGCTCAATACATATCAGTTAAAGCAAGTATAATGTATTTTAACGAGTTTAATCTCAAAAAGTGCATCTAAGTAAGCCAAAAGAAATGCCTCTTTTCCCATTCACTTTTTTCCTCTCTTGCATTTTTTAAAAAACTGCCATTAAGCATATATTATTATAAGGTATTTCTGAATTGCACATAGATTTTATATGACATAAAATAAAGCCAGCAACATGTGAGATGTGACCAACTGCTAGAACACAATGGTTAAACGAGCTTTGTTTTTTAACCTTTCTTTTCTATCGCCTAGTTATAAAAACAGATAAAGCACTGATGCACCTCAAGTAAATGTCTGTATTTGATTAAGCATGGCTTACAAATTACTTTTGGAGAACCTAAACTGAAATGGCCTATAAAATATCCATAGAAAACACACATTCTTATGCCACTTTATGCAGCCCTGAATCATGCCTGTCTAGACAAGCAGGTGATATGCTGCCAGCAGTTTACTGTTCATATAGAGAGAAGCACTGGGAGAGGAAAAAAAAAATCCACAAAAGAAACAAACAAAAAACCTTTGGAAAAGGCTTGTTCAGAGACTCAAGCTTCACTTAACAAATTATTTGCGTTTAAGGATGATTTAACATGCTTTTACTGTCAATTTATGACTAGCTATTTCTAGATAAACCACAGCTGAATTTTCTTCAGAGGTCATAAGGATGCATGTTCAAGTTTAAGCTTTGCTAATTCATCACACAAAGTACCTGTACTTCTGAACGGCAGATGAATACCTGGGATCTAGGACACAGTGGGCTACGATTTTCTGACCAAAGCAGGCCCAGGATTATCCAAAGTTTAGACAAGAGAGAGTCAAGGAAAATGCCTGGCCCATACAACACTGTGAATTTCTCCCATCTAAATCAGAGCATCAGGGTATTACCAGGGGGCTAAAGAGAGGCAGTACTGAAAGTTGTACAGCTGCCCAAGTATCCAAACCAAGGCTTTATTGATTCTTCCTTACAGTTTTCAGTAACTAGTATGCTAGCATGGGAGCCCTCTCCTTAAATTTCACATCTAGTCGTCACACTTTTCCCTTCTGCTTAACTTTCCTTTTGTGGTTTAAAAACATGTATTCTCTGGTTTGTCTGTTGTTTAGTATTGGTGTATGCTGATAAATGACCACTTACCATATTCTGCAGAGGACAGCATTTTAACAGTGGATGGAATTAAGCCTGTTCTCTTATACAGTATTTAGGGACATAAGGAAGGCAAAATGGGATTTGATATATTTGTTATTTCCTTTTATTTTTAAGGCAAAGTATAACAGGTTTTAATTTGTAAAAAAATTAAAAATTATCAAGGGAAAAAGAACAATATATATTTACAAAATATTTACAAAAATATGTCTATACTTTATACAAGAAAGCATATTGGCTACTCAGGGCAGAAGACAGTGGGATGATGAGTTGTCACTGCAGCATCAATATTCATTAACCATACAGTAGCTTTTTACTATTCATTCAAAACAAGTAAGAACACAGAAAGAGATAATGAATATCTAAGTGCAAAAAAAGGCAGTACGGTAAAGGAAATGAGAAAAGAAAAAGTCCTACTGGAGAAGTTTCATATGCTTATGAAGATGACAAAAAGAATGAACTGAGCTGTATCTTTTCTATAACTTGGAGCTGTGATAACTTGAAAAATTTTCAAGATGTCAACTGCTGGCAGAGGCATCCTCCTCCTCAGTGGTAAGGAGGTCAGCTCTACCTTGTGAAAGGAAAAATGGATTTTTGTGTAATGAAGCAAACACCGCATTCATCAACCATTTAAATCAAGTCTTCCATTCAAAACCTATTGATTTTAAAGCCTCTGTTAGCCAAAAGTGCACAGGCTCTTAAATATTTTGAGGCTTTTAAAGGGCAACATGGAAAAAGGTCGATAAAAAATAATCCCTTTATGTGGTTTATATTTTAAAAGTTCCTACAACAAAATTAATAAAGGGTTTTGGGTTTTTTTTTGCTTTATATATTGGTTGGATGATTCGGACTCAATATTATATGCTGGAGACTTTGAGAAAACAAATGAACATATTACACATGACCTATTAAATTTCAGAGAGAAATTAAAAAAAAAAAGAAGAAAACATCATCATCTGTAGAGAAAAACACAAGCCATTCCATAGCGAGGTCATCATGCCATAGGAAGCTCCTTGACCATGAGCTGCCTTCTAAACATAGCTAAGAGAGAAGCTTCGAAAATATGCAAAACCTCCCTGAAGTGCCTTTTCTGGTGCCAACTCTTCAGAAAAAGAGATTATGTCCCCCCTGTCACAGACAAGGCTTTTGTCTGAAAACTAACCAGAGCTCGTTGGGACTCCCAAAGAGTGAATCTTGGTATCCCGTCCCCCTTATGAAATAGTGTGTCCTGTCATCTCGGGCTCCCTGGCTTTGTTGTGGCCATTTCTGCAGCACGAGAGAGACCCCAGCCACCCCGGCCCCTCAGGCAGGATGGTCTGAGCCAGCCTCAGCACCATCCTGCTACCTCTGAGGACCCCACAACAATCATTACGTTATCAAAGATTTTAGAGCAAGTGGAGGTTCTGCTTCCCTAGATGTGATGAGAGTTTTTCTATCCTCATCAAATATTACATGTAAAATCCCATGCGGAATTTTTGTTGATAGGCAGCTTTCCTACTAAGATCAACATTATTGCCCAGGATTCATCACTCCCTTCACATGCTAGGTAGGAGGAATGGTGCACTCTTTTCAATTGAAATACGGCTCCTGTTTAATATCTACATGTCTATTTAAAATTACCATTACTTACAAATGCTCTGTACTTCCATTAAATACAGAGTTTTGGAGGAAAAGTGTTAAAGTCTGACGATGGAAGTAAGACACAAAGAAAGGAAATGCTCCGAAAGAAGGAGAGAAATTGGTGCCTGTTTCACTTACCATTTTCTCCAGCGGGTACTGTTACAGGATGTGTTGGCACAGTATCAGAATTCACTTTTCCATTCTCAAATGTATCATTTTCAGTTTGCTGCAACTGCCAGTTGAGGCCAAACAGATGCATTGCTGGTGGTAAAGGATACAAGTTATTTGATGCTTTTAGCCACAATGACAAATCACAGAAATAATGGCTTTCCATGCTTCGCAGAAGAATAGCAACTCATACATTAAAAAATTAAATTACAGGAACAAGCATTCACAGACTAATAGTTCAACTTAGCAATGGCACTAAGCAATTACTACCACTGTCCTTTAATGATACAGTGCTTTCGGTGAACGCAGTTGACAGAAAGCTCACCAGTCTCATTTTGAGTCTTTTACCAGTCCCAAATCAATGTTCAAAAGGATAGGCAGTAATTATGTCCTTTTCTCTTTTTTCATTTTTGATCCTTCTGAAGAGACAAATCATTTAAGTGAGCTCCTAAATGACCTACTAAAATAAATGATTTCACCAGCAGATGGATCTGTTCTGGTTAGCCAGAAAGGGAAAAGAAACAATGCAAGAGGAGAGGAAGGAGGGTGCTGTGGGTGTTGCAGGGCTAACCTAAGACATGAACACTCCTTTCATGCTGTCACCAACACGCTGCGCAACTTCCAGTTACGTGCCCATTCCCCACGCTAGTCTACAGAACGAGGCCAAGGCCATTAGCAGAGCTGGAGACCCTGGGGCACTTTGATAATGATAATGCATAAGCTAGGTTTCTGAACTACTTAATTCCCCACAACCATGTTTATTAGAAAGGTGATACCATGTTAAAAAGTTTAGCTATGCTAATTATGAAAGACAGAGTCAACCTTCTATGGTGTTAGGGTGAACTACTTAAGGAACCTTTATATCACCAGGGATTAATGAATGAACCCCCCATCTCAACTTTTAGAGCAAAAATACAGAAAAAAAAAAAAATCACCTTAATGCTATACTGTGATACACATAACATATGCAATTCCTTGCTATCTGTGGTGTATTTCCTTCTCTTCCAATGACTCTATGGTACCACCAAAATTAATTTTATTGTAATTACTCTCATTTCCATTTGATATAACGAGTTTGCTCATTCTAAGACAGCAGTTATCTCCAAAGCTAAAGTAGTCTTTCAGTGCTACTGGGGAATAAAAATACACTGGAAAAAAATTCTGTAATAATGTATTTTAACTATGAGTGCAAAATATAAGGAAGATAATTCACAGTAGCTTGTTGCTTCTGCTCCTTCTGTCTCTGAAACAGATCATGAAACAGTTGATATTATTAATTTATTCATTCCTTCTAGCCAAATGACAAACAATTCTTCATCCCTTTTGGTTTCATCTCTGTATTGACCATGGCAACCCTTACTTAAGACAAACAGGCATCAGCGGAAGTTTAGTCAGGGAGACAGTGAACACTGCAGAATTAAGACCCTCTCTGCCAGGTCTTTGCCTTAAACCCTTCCCCTTACCCTCAACAAAACAAAAAACCAGAATGCAACCAAAGACCTATTATTGAATGTTTTAAAGACTGAAATCCTCACTATAGATGACATATTCTCTTTGTTCCAAGTCTCTGACTCTACTATTACTCTTCTTTCTCAGACCTTAAATTGCCTGTCAAAGCCTGATAATGCAGAATATTCCTTGACCCTAAAACCTTATTTTTTTTTCCCCTCTCATCTCTTGTTAAACCATAAATCTGACCACCACCATTTTTGGCACATCTCTAGAATTAGCCATTATTATTTTGGCCCTACCTCAGCTGAAATTCTTATTTATGTATTAATCATCTGATGATTGTATCTGTTTTAATATATTTCACCAAAATCCCTAGGGTCAAACTCTACTATCTGTTATACTAGTTCACTTCACTGGCAGCAATGAAAGACTGCAAATAGCTAAATATTTCATGATTCAAACCCAGTACCTTTCTTGTCTTCAGTCTGGAGGTCTAAATCACCTCTCCTAACTTTGCTGGCTTCTTATCACTTTTAACACTCTTCAGGAAAAAAAAAAAGTGACATTCATTTTGTAACTCTAGAAGTGCATCCCTTCTAAACACATGAGCTTAGAACATCATTAACAGCTCTGTCTGGTGGTGCTATCTCTTCATGCTCCACTGGGAGATCAGAAGGGGAAGCTCCGACATGACCTCCTAGCCATTCCCTCATAATTCAAAACAGCTGGAATTTGAAGTCTTCAAAGGCAAGGACTGTGGGATCTATATTGATTACATCTCAAAGAACCATAGTTACTACAAGATAAGTGACAATTACCTTTTCTTTGTGTTTGTACTGATGTGAGTCCCACTGTAGTTCACTGTCAAAGATGGTGACTAATAGTTGTATACCTCAAAAATACTATTGCTCTATCAACTTTGACACCGAACTAGCACCAAGTTCAATAAACAATGTTTAATAAAAATGAACAGATGGATACATGCAGCTGTTTCACAGATTGTGAATATCGGAATATTTTTGAAGCAGACCAAAAATGTTGCTTGATAACTCCAATGACAACCCAAAACTTACAGTGTGTACTAATACACTAAATAATTCAACTCTGTAATCTCTCTGAGACAGCACTATGGAATTTAGAGAATTCTCCTTTCACTACAAACAGATGAGAACAACATGAAAGAATTAGGCTTGTTGATACAGGATCAAAATACAGGGCACAATTTCTTTAGAGATGGGGAACTTTAAGAACATGGGTAAATTGACTGCTTAAGACAAATTCAGGCACTATTTTGTCGATTAAGATTGGTCTCTTCTCAGTCAGCCATCCATATAAAAGCAAACTTTAAGCCCTTATCAGTGTTCTAAGGACAGTGAGGCACCTGTTAGAAATTCTTGATGCCCCCATGAGTCTGATAAGCAGCAACTGGTACTGGTAACTGCACACTGAGAGCACACACCTCAGCAGGGGATCTGAGACCTTCAAGTCAAATGTTATGAACTAGTTCTGAATTTCCAGAGGGGGAATGATGCAGTGGTGTATGTGTGTGTTTGATTTCCTCAGATCTAAAAAAGGATGAAGACTTTCTTCCACCTTTGGGATGGGGATGTAAGAGTTCAGTCCACTTCTCTGCTTCTATTGTGTTCAGAGAATGATAGGTTTACTTCTTTCTATAAAGAATTTGATATATGAAGCAAAATTAAAGCAAAAACATATAAAGCAAAATAGATTTCTCTATTCACAGCTGCTATTTTAGTCGCAAATCTAATGTAAAACAGTTTCTTGATTTTTGTATTGGATATTGCCTGTCAGGTCTGGTTTATTCCCATTCAATTTGGCATTTATTTGGTGTTAGACAATGACAACGAAGACAAGAGACCCTTCCTAGAGTAACTAGTTCTGAGTCTGCCAAATCTATGAGGGTACTAACACTGGAACAACTTTCAATACTGGCATATCTTTGATGGCAGCAAGGACTTGTCTGAGAATGTCAGATGCCTCTAACCAGAAAGTATGCAGCTTGTGATGGTTGTGGTCACGGACCACAACAACTCAAACCAAATAACCCACAGCTACAAGCATGGATGAACCCTCAGGGGATAGGAGAAAAGACGGGTTGTCACAATTCCAAATATGCCCTCAAACCCTAACAAAAGCCTCCTTTTACTTGTATCAAGACTAGGATGATTGCTCCCACCATGGAACAGGATGACTTTTTAAGCAGAGAAACAGATGATGATATCCTTTGCCTATTCTGCTGTTTCAGTCCCCACCTCTATTCTGCAAAGTAATCTCTAACTACCAACAGATCTTCTTCACTTGCTGGAGTTATGACAGCATTTTATCTTGGGACTGACAGAGTTGTTTAAGGTGGTATTTGTACTGCTACCGGCCAAATTATCAGCGTTACTGCCAGCCTTTAGAACGCGGTGATAGTTTAAATGGTGATGATTCCATTCCCTCTAACAGAGTGGGAAGGAGAGGCATCAGAGAGAAAAAAGTCCTATAGGATCTGTGCTGCTCTTGGCATGAACACAGCACCAGTGTCTGGGTGGTGCTGGTGGATATGGCTGAATTCTTCAGAAAAATCTCAAACATAGAAGCAGTAACGAAACTAACAGTTGGGCTTTTGCCCCCTCCCTTCATATTTCTGCAAAGCAGAACAAGCCAAATGGACCGGGATATTCAAAAGATTCAGAGCTCAGATAAAAGGAGTGCATTTATACCTACAGTAGCATTGACGTTAACACAAAAATGCTATCATTTGTTACAGGCTATCAGGTAATCTTACCATCTGTCACCACACAGTTCACTGAAGGGTTTCTGAACCACCTTAAACTGCTTTTTCAAGCATGGCTGATCTTACCTTTCACTCTGTTATTGAGGTCTAGTTATTTTGGTTTGTAATCAGTCTACAAGGCCTTCATTTCCACTCAATAATTAAAATAGCAACTAAGAACAAACACTTGAAAAAAAATATTATGACTAGTTTACACTGTGTAAAACATTTTACAATAATCTGCTTCAGGAAGAAGTTGCTGCTATCAGGCCCTTTCATTCTTTTAACGTTGCCAGCCCATTTGTCTTGCACACTTCTTTCTCAAGCTAGTATTGCTGTGCTTCATGCATTCTCTTTACAAGGAACTCGTTACTGAGCAAGCACACTGTATTATCACTTCAAAACCCTCTTCGAGACTTTCTTCAGCAAGCCAAAAAGAAACCAGTCCCTTTATTAGTAGGTGGTAAGAGAGACGGATAATTTATGTAACTACGTGGCAGATCTAGAACTGTGAGAGCTGACAACGACCTGCTGCATTCGACTGGGGAGCACTTCCGTTCGCCGCTTTGCTCACTGGTTCAAAGCTCTCTTCTGCCAAAGTTATGAGAGGCACAAAAAAGAACTGTAACGAAAACCAATTTAAGTAGCTGTTTCTCCATTTAGCAAAAACTTGGCTTGTCTGTTGTTTTTTTTTTTCTCCTCATACACTTGAATGGTAAGAGGATAGGGACAGCTAGTTGATAAAGAAATGAGGTGTCAGCATCCTCCAGTATCCAGGATGTAGCTCTGAACAGAAAACAAAGTTTGGGCACAGATGTGAGCATACATACAATGCTGGGGTTTATGATTGCTCTCAGAAAGA